CACCATACTTATTCAGTCTGTATGCTGAGCAAATAATCTGAGAAACTGGACTATGTGAAGAAGAATGTGGCATCGGGATTGGAGGAAGACTCATTAACAACCTGCCATATGCGGATGACACACCCTTGCTTACAGAGAATGAGGAGGACTTGAAGTACTTGCTGATGAAGATCAAAGACTGCAGCCTTCAGTATGAATTACAGCTCAATATAAAGAAAACAAAAATCCTCACAACTGGCCCAATAAGCAACATCATGATAAGCGGAGAAAATATTCAGGTTGTCACGGATTTCATTTTACTTGGATCCACAATCAGTGCTCATGGAGGCAGCAGCCAGGAAATCAAATGACAATATTGCATTGTGCAAATCTGCTGCAAAAGACCTCTTTAAAGTGTTGAAACGCAAAGGTCCCACTTTGAGGACTAAGGTGCACCAGACCCAAGCCATGGTGTTTTCAGTCACCTCATACCCATGTGAAAGCTGGACAGTGAATAAGGAAGACTGAAGAAGAATTGATGCCTTTGAATTATGGTGTTGGGGAAGAATATCGAAGATACCATGTAATATAATGCTGGAAGAATGAACACATCTGTCTTGGAAGAAGTACGGGCAGAATGCTCCTTAGAAGTGAGGGTGGCGAGACTTCTTCTCACATACTTTGGTATGTTATCAGGAGGGACCAGCCCCTGGTGAAGGACATCATGCTTGGTAAAGTAGAGATCAGTGAAAGAGAGGAAAACCCTCAACGAGGTGGATGGACACAGTGGCTGCAATGATGGGCTCACGCATAGCAATGATTGTGAGGATGGTGCAGGACCGGGCAGTGTTTTCATTCTGTTGTACGTAGGGTTGCTATGAGTCAGAACCGACTCGATAGCACCTGACAACAGCAACAACATAGTGTATGTTTAACGTTATAAGAAACTGAGATTGTTTTCATTTTATGCTCCCATCATCAGTGTATGAGAATTCAGTTGCTCCACATCCTCGTCAACACTTGGTTTTGTCAGTCTTCTTTTATTAGCTATTCTTGTGGGAACGTAGCCATTGTGTTTTAACCTATAAAATTGAAAACTGTATCTCACTGCTTGCAGTTATAGGAATGTATTGCCTGTTTTTTACAGGCTATCTCTGAGGGACTAATTACCCTTTAATTACTTTCTTGCATGTCCATAGGGAATACAAGACAATATTCTGCTTATCGTGTAGGATGGCTCCTTGCTATGGTACATATAGTGATTGGCTTTGTCGTATTTCCATTTGTACCTAGTTTTCATTGTATTCAGCTCCCTTTACGAGTACCTAGTATCCAGAGCTTTTTCCCTGCTTCTGCGACTGTTTATATTAGCTTTGCAATTTTCCCAGCTGGCTAAGTTTGCTTCAATAGAAGTCTTAAATTAAAGCCACTCCCATTAGTTAGTTAAAGGCCTCTCCCATTGGCCAAATGTTGGTCTGATGTAAAAGTGAAAATAATTTTATTAACATTATTAAGTGTATCCATGCAATGCTGAAGACATAAATTGAGGATCATCTAGTTGTCTAAGGAAACAAGACTTTGGTCTTATTTGTGGATTTTTGGTAATTTTTTTTTAGCCTTTTTCCCCCCAACATTTTATTATGAAAAATTTCAAACAAACGGAAGAGTGGAAA